TTTTTTTTTTTTTTTTTTGTTGGCTGGTTTTAGGAAGCTACTGCACCCATCGAGTTACAAAACATCCAAAATCATAACTTCAAAATATTAAAGCTTTCCTTTTTTTTTTAATTCTTCAATTCTCTCATCCACCTTTGCAGCAATAATGATAATAATAATCATAATTACAAAAGAAATCATAATAAAAAACCCAAGTAAGGCCAGATTCTCTCTCTTTATATATAAATATATATATATAAACAATGGGAAGGGGGAAGGGGAGCACACAGAAGACACCAATGATGCATCTGAAACAACAAATGAGAGTGAAGCAGACATTTATAAAAAAGATGAAAAGGAAAATATTTTGAACATGCACCTCGATTTTACGGCCCTCTACCACGGTGCCGTGTAATTTCTCCCTCGCCCTGTCCGCATCAGCACTATTTTCGAAAGTTACGAAACCAAATCCCTGCATGCAGGAGGGAGAAGGGGGGAAAACAACATGCACATTATTATTTCAGTCAATGACCACTTGTTTGCTTATGTTCTCTCTCTCTCTCTCTCTCTCTTTAATTTAATATTGCCTTGTCCTTGCTTCATTTCTATAACATGCAAATTAGAAAAATTATAATCGTATTGAGATGTGCAATAAATAAGCGACAAATGTGAACAAATTGCTTTCTGTCATCAGTTAGATAATACCCTCTGAGAAATCCAAAGAATGATACCAAAAATACCTTTCTACATGTCACTACAGAGGAAAAGAAATCTAACAATAAGAAAATGAAAGTAAAATAAATTACAGTGTCTTCACATAGAAAAAAATGAACTAATGAGAAAAGAAAACGAACCACGTTTTAATGACATGCAGATATCTCAACGAAATAAAAAACATGTGCACAAAATTCAACACTGAATGTCACTAGTCTCTAAACATTGCCTACTTAATCATGCTGTTGTGATCGTAAGAAACATTGTTCCCATGCAACACTAGGGTAACTTAAACTTTTGTCAAACTATACAGCCTTTACTTCTTTTTTTATAAAAGAAAAATAAAAAAGAAAAGAAAACCACCAACAAAACAAAAGTACTTTTAGAACAAAGCATAAACTTTCTTGTATTAACAGATCAAAGAAAATCACATGATGTGAATAGAAAAAGAAACTCTGATAAAGGAAGAAAAATGCAAACATTTTGAATAAGTTTAACTGCTTCATTTACTAGTTCTGCATATATTACTTTCCACATATAGAACATGCAACTGGTCAAACTGCAGAATCCCATGTTAGTGGGACAGCAGAACCCCTGACAAATCTGAAATTCTGCTTATGGCAAATGCTCTCCTTTATAATATTAGGCTAAACAAACATTTCCCATCCTACTAAAATTCCTTTTATGTGCTAAGTTCAATTAGATGCTATTTACAATGGCAAATATATTGTTCAATATCAGACATGGCAGAACATTTTAGAACCATACACCAACCCTTTGAAGGAATTCTTGCATTAGCACTGCAATGCCTTTGCATGTCTCCCAAAGTTATCCCAATAAATGTGCGTTGACATCCTCAATGATTCTCAAGCAGAACCATTTGCAGACTGCACGTGGCTGCTTTGGACACAGGCATTGCTGCACAGAGTTGAAGTGTTACTACAGCCTTTTTCTTCAGTGTTACTTTAGCTTGAACTCTGTTCTGCTCCTGAGTAATCACCACACACCACATCTCCCCATCTAGGGTCCCTTCACTTTGTTTTGTGATCAGTGTTCACTCACTCTCTGCAGTATTCCCCATCATACATAGCGACTGATTTAAAAAAAAAGGGGGGGGAAAAAAAAGGAAGGGAGGACATATACACATTTATTTACACATTTTATACAAAAGAAAAACAAATATGAAACTAAGGAGAAACTGACACCAAATAGTGAGAAAAACAATGGGGATGAACTACAAAACTAATTACTCAATAATCAACTGGAAAAAGTTAAGTCATGATCAGGATCATTACCTGAGTTATTTGGGTTATTTTGCCTACTCAAAGAACTCGTTTATTTCTGTCCATTTTTACCATGAAAAGTGACATTTATGTACAGCAGCAGTTTGTTTCATTCTTTTTGAAGCAGCCTAAAGACATTGTCTGTTGCTCTTTTTTTCCCCTTTTAAAGCCCCCATGAAGCCTGATCTCCGAAGTGCTCTGTCAGCAGTTCCACTTCTAGCTGAAGCCATTCTCACAACACCTGATTCCACACATTTTCTCCACTCTACCCTCCACAATTTTAGCACAAGGCCATGACCTCGCTTGTCAGAAGACACTGAGGATGTAACTCTCTTCTCCCCGAAGCCCCAGGATGTTGAGAGAAAGTAAATCCCCTTCCTCAGCACTAATCCCCATGGTTCAGATGCATGCATAGGCTTTTCTTATACCTAAACCCATCCTCAACTTTAAACTTTTATTTCCTCAACTGCTTCCACTCATCTTGTCAAAGCTCTGTAAAATAAAGCTTATAATTTAAGATGCCATTGAGAAAATTTCACAGCTGAAAACATCACTGGATTCATGGATCCAAGGAGCCTAACTCTATGCAATAGCACAAATTCCCCCAATTTTTTATTCTCCCCTTTCAGCTAAGCAATTGCCCCCCTCAGAACTGCAAACATTTAGTGGGAGTTGTTCAGTCAAAATTTTCCATCAGTCTCCTTAGCTCACAGCACTAGCAGATAATTTTTGTTCAAACAACTAAAGGGAAAGATAAAAACCTAATTATATTAAAAAAAAATTAGAAAAACATACAAAGAGGAGCCACAAGCCAAGATAAGACAGGAACTTCAAAGATTCTGAAAATAATACTCATGGTAATTTTTTTAATTTCTTATGTTGTACTTATAATCAACACTATTTAAATTAAGCTCTTATTATTTATGCAGATCTGAACTTTACCTGCCAGAGAAACTCAAGCACAGAACATAGATTCACTCATCACACATTCAAATACCTACACGAACACTCAACCCCAAATTTCCTCTGCACCTGAGGTAACAGCTGCTTTGGCTTAGCACACTTTGTATTTTATTAACTGGTAATGTAAATATGTGCATCTTCTTTTTAAAATCTGACAAGTGATTTAATAATAGGCAAGTCAGTATGTGAGAAGGTTCTGATTTAATTTGGGAGGTGCTTTGGAGTCTTCTTATTTGGAAAAATAGATGTTAATATGATATACACCAGATATATTTTCATATATACAGAGACAGATTTCTCAAAGTACCTATGAAGTATACAGCTGCCTAGAGCATTAATTTATAACCAAGAGAAAATGGTCAAATATTCAAAAATCATCAGTGTTGCCATACAATCTAAGCAAAGTTATCTTCCATATCATTATGCACCCAAGCAAACAGAAATTTGTAGCATGAAACTTGAATTATTTTAGGGTTTTTCTTTTCTGGAAGGACTCCTTTCTTCAAAATCATGACACTTTATTGTGGTGCTCTAACATTCTGCTCTTTCAATATGCAATTCCATTTTTCTTAACTAGCATGGCATGAGAATGAACTTACTTCTAGTGGCTTTGCAAGAACCTTGTAAAACAGTCGTTATTACGATGAAAAGAAAGAAAAAGAAACAGAGACAAAAACATATTCTAGCAATTCTTATGCCAAACTGCAGCTAGAAACAAGTTTGAATTCTGATCCTGCAAACTTTGTTACCTGTACTCAGTTTGAAACCACTTAGTAGTCCTTTCAGTTTCAGTGGGATATTATGAAAACATAGATAAGCACTGCCAGGAATGGGACTTTAATCTGGTGCATCTTAATTCCTACAGAATGGACACGAAATGATCAGATTAAAAAAAAATGAAAAAAAAAAGTCCCTCTAATTTCTAATTTTTTTAAAACTTTCTGTTTAATTGAGAGAATCTAAGGTTACTTCTTCAAATCAAAATGCTATGTAGCTATACCTGAAATAACTCTAACCAGGATGACAAGCAGCAAACATAAACCATGAGGATGCATCACAAAACTGCTTTAGGCATCTTCAGCAGATCACTTGGAGACAGCTAAGCTGCACCACTGCAGCACTGAGAGTGCAGGAGTAGGTCTCGGAGTCTAACACAAAGTGTGTAACTGAGGCAGTGACATCCTAAGTCCACCTAGAAAAACCTCCTCCTCCTGAAATCCTTTCTAGGTTCTTAGTTTTAGCATAAGGCATTGAGATGTTTTCATGACTGCAAGATCACTGTAAAAAAAACCCTCAATTCAGAAACATCTCCTTACCCCCATCCCCCAAATCCTTAAAAAAAAGCCTTACACTTATGCAGTCCAGTGCAGGTGTGGTGGTTAAAATCCCTCCAGGTGTAAGATTTAATGGCTAAACAAAAGTGTAAAGCACCACCCCATGCCATGCAAGCTCAGCTCCACTCCCTGAACAACACAACCCAGCAGAGGTGCCCAGTGTGGGATGGAAATGTTGGAAATCTATAGGACTCTCCAACAGGAGCAGGTTCTGGACAATCTGTGTCTTTTGCAAACACTACTGAATGGCCATAATTTAACAACAATAAACTTTGGCCAGAGTACAAGATTCTAAGCCACCAAATTCCATTCATTTTAGCTGTTCAACTGAAAAAGTGGTAAATGTTTCAACTGTGTTTGGGCTAGTAGGGGACTAAGTAGTGCCTGAATAACAAACCAGGAAACTTCAGCTATTCCACCTAGTTTAGAAAAACATGTGAAGGCTTTAAGTTTAGAATCAAAACAGATCTAAGTGAGATTCATGATATATATGGTTCTTCAAAAATGACAGATTACACTATGTCTAGAACAGGAATAGATAGTAATAAATGGTCCATGAGTTACAGGCAGACTGAAACATTAGTGAATACACTTTCTAGTGTGTCTGACATGGCAGGAAAGGGAAGAAAGATATGCATATGACATACACATAAACCCTATAAACTGCAGGTGATCTAGGTGAACATCCTGGGCTACACTTTCATACCAGGGAATGATGCTAATGCAGCCACAGCCATTCTATCTTGCTTTATTTCTTAAATACTGAATAAACTGAAGTATGCATTTAGGGCAAGTAATATTCAGAAAAAAAATTAAATGTTTGCAATACAATAAGAACTGTTTTAATCAAATAAATGTTAAAATAGATTGTTTTCAAAGGGTTGGTGTACTAAGGCTTTAACTAAAGAGGAAAACATCTGCACTTAGATAATCTGGAACAATCACATATTTTCTCAGCTAATTACTAAAGAGGATAGTTATTAGGTATCATAATCATCTTTCATTTCAGTAAAGGAAAAAAAATACCTGTACTAATACAAACCTGCCTACAAATATCTTTAAGTATGGACTCATCTTATAAAATAAACGAGATAATTACCCTCAGAGAATAAGGACAGCAGAAATCAACATTCCCATAAAACAGATGACAGTTTGGAGTAGCTAAAATTACCCCCTTTAAAAGATATGAGTCCTATGATTTTCATACTGCTTAGAAACCTGACTGACAGCTCAGAAGATGTTTTCACTAACATAAAATTCCAGACATAAATTTTTTTCACAGCAGTGCAGTTGTTTCCTTTTACTCATACAAGCATTTTAAACCAATGAAAAATTCCACAGGTGAATTAAACTGCTTACCTTGGAGCCTCGCTCATTAAAAATAATTTCAACATCTAAGATTTTACCAAATTGCTGCAAAGAAATAGAAAAGTTACATGAAAATAAGATAATTTCAAGCCTTCTATTATATGCAGTACAAATAATGTGTTTCAGAAAACAGTGCAACTTCAAGAATATAAAAACAAAGATAGCTGAACACCAAAAAGGACCCACTAAAAGCAGCTAGGGTCAATATTACAACTAAATTCTAAATATCATTTTGCTTGTTACTATCATTCCACAGGTGAACTGTAAGTTCAGTGAAACCTCCTGACAAAGAGGAAATATCATTACACTATGATCACAGTGAAAAGTCTCAATTTTATTTTTTTTTTAACATTACAGGCAAAGGAGTTTGGTTACTTCTACTTTACAGGAATAAGATTAACCATCTGGGAGTTTTGTTGTTGGCTTCGAGTCATGAGGATTTCTTTCCACCCTTGCTGAAAAGAGGAATCATTACTCCCTAACAAGTTCAGGTCTCACTGAAGTATAATTTGGAAAACTGGAATGGATACTTAACTTTTAGGGGATTATTTTTCCCTGCCTCAGAATTGCACTTTCATTCTAATATTAGTAGTGACTGTGATTTCTACTGACCTTACAATAGCACTCATAATTCTCTAGGCATTGTTCACATACACAAAACCTGCCCACAGTTGCTATCCTAAATTAAAAGGCCCCGTTGGACTTGCCTGAGGAAGAGAATAAATGCTGGATTCAGGCACTGCTTAGTTACAACACTTTTGTTACGACACATTTTGTGATGTGACACTGCAATGGATCAGTGGGTCATTTCTTTTATTTCACATGGCATTAACATGCAGTATGGATCAGTGGTACCACTGATAAGTGACCCAATATGTTAAACAAAAAGGCAGAAATTCAAGACAGGCAAGTGAAGAATCATCTAACAAGAGTCCCAGGAATTGCAGAAACAAGCCCAGACTCCAGACTTTGAAGATACAATCAAAATTGCAGGCCAGAAAGGACAGTATTATTTCTCTAGCTTATTAAAGAGTTTCAACTTGGTTATGAAAAATCAACCAGCACTTGTTATTTCTTGGCTTATTTTACATTCTTGCATTCACCATTTAATTACTGCTTTAACTGTAACTTCAGCCTAGAAGCAGATATTGACTTAATGTTTAAACAAACCTTCTCTGTTGTGTTTATGTGTCCATCTAAAAGATCATCTGCTGTGTGTACAATGTGGTTATGATGCAGTGTTAGCATATTTCACATCAGGTATTTCAACACACACAAGCAGAAATTTCATTTTTCTATCAATTCAGAAGCTAGAAGCTTGCTGTTACTAAGTCATTCTAAAGCTGGAAAACTCCAGCCATTCTCCAGTGTTAGTCTCTGGAGACCTAAGAGGAGGTATCATTACACTGAACTGCAAGGAAATGTAGTTTTTATTCACTTCTAAATCACTACAATGCCTAAACCCCCCAAATCCTTTCATTTAATGTACTTTCAAATAGAATCTATTTTAAGTGGTTTGTTTAGTTTAAAGAAATTTGCATAGTTTTCTCTAGAGGGTTAATTATTATGCCTTCTGCTATTTTGCTGATGAGCTGTAAGCTGCATTCAGGGGAGGTTACTTGGAGCAAGTCAGATAGAGCCAAACAGTCACTCATTTCCCAATACCATAGTATTCTTTTTCCAGTGACTGTTTCCTTCAGAGAAATATCTACTGAGGAACACAATGTCTTAATTCACACACAAACACATTAGAAGAACTTTAAAAACTGAACTGAACATGAAAGATGGAGAGAAGTTCAGAGCCATGAAGTACTTGCACTGTATAACCAACTGTAATGCAGAAGAGAATTCAGTTTTAATGAGTTAGAAAGCTGAGAGTAACATAAATACTTGACAGTACTAACTTGGAAAAGGAAGCTGGTATCTAATAGATTGCAAAGTACTTTTTCTAGATTTTATTTAGTGACATGTCAAAATAAACCTAAGAGTTCTTGGAACAGGGAGAAGAAACCTCTAATGGTTGAGCCTAAAGCTGATGGCACATACGAAAGGTGAAACACAGGGAATGTGCCTGAAGGTAGCTAACGGCCTGGGTGAAAGCAAAAATTGAGAGAATTAGAGAAAAATACTAGCAAAAGCTTTAGAAGCCTATGGATCTACAAAACCTGTGGGGATGGGTGAGGAACTCTGTGCTTAAATTCAGCCCATGTCTTCGTTCTTCAGATTTGGGTCCCTTACTCATGAGGTCAAGGATTGACTACTTTACATCATGTTCCCCAAAAGCAATAAATGCA